GCGAAGGAAGAAGAGAAAGAAAGAGAAAGAGCGAGGGAAGGAAAGACAAAAGGAAGGATGGAAGCAAAAAGCAAAGGAAGGAAGGAAAGAAGCAGAAAAGGAAGAAAGAGAAAGGGAAGGAAAAGGAAAAGGGAGGAAGGAAAGAGGTAGAGAAGGAAGGAAGGAGAGAAGGAAAGAAGAAAAGGGAAGGAGGGAAAGAAGGAGAGAAAGAGGGAGGGAAGGTTATGATTCTATGATGTGACGGAGCGGATTATTTAGTGTAACTAGATTATAGTGTATTATTGTTGTATTGATTTCCTGTTTTGCCCTTTTGTAAACTGTTTTTATATGTTGTGCACCGCCGCGAGTCGCCCTAGGGCTGAGAGCAGCGGTCAATAAATGCAGTAAATAAATAAATAAAAATAAATAAAGGTTGGCCACAGCAACGTGTGGCGGGTACAGCTAGTAGAGTAATAATTTTGCAACTGGGTACAAGGACATAGATCCTTCTCCGTGCCTGCCCTCTCCCATTTTCCCCCATGCCATGCTTCGGTGGCTTTACAGAAAGTCAGAATGGTTTTGGTTGGTGCAGAGGGAGGGAGAGAATTTTAACCTGCATGTTGACCCAAAAGCAACATACACAGACATAACATTGGTGTGTGCCTAAATGTGCCATAAACAGCTTCCCAGCCCAAGACTGGCACACAGAATTCTTGCTCAAGCTTGGCTCAAGTGTAATATTTGTATATTTCTGTAATATTTGTATGACATTTTCCCCAAAAGCTTAATACAAGTGTTGAAAAATTTAAAGAACACAAACTATTTTTACAGTCAGTACAATTGACAAAAATAAAGATAATATTTTACATCATTTGAAATATTAAGAACTCCTCTTGCTTCTTCTCCCCCCTCCCCGCACAGAATGGCAAGACCCATGGCCATGGAAGACTTCAAGGCAGCCATTTATGAAGGAAGGCTGACAGATGCTGTGTCTAATGTGATGGGGAAACCACTGCAGTATTTCAGCGAAGTGCCACTCAACATCGCTGTAGTAGGAGAGCCAGGCTCTGGAAAGTCCTCCTTCGTCAATGCCATGCTGGGCTTATGTGCAGGTGATCCAGGAGCTGCCGAGACAGGCATACAGACAACAACAGTAGACGTCAAGGCTTTCCCACATCCACATCTTATAAATGTCATTTTTTGGGATCTCCCAGGAAAAGGTGCAGCATCTTTTGGTGAAGATGTTTTTGCCAAGATCGACTTGAATCGCTTTGATTTCTTCATCATAGTTGGTGCCCAGCGTTTCCGGACCATTCACGCTGACCTGATCAACGAGATCCAAGGAATGAGCAAGAAGTTTTACTTTGTGCGTAGCAACACAGACCTTGATCTGGAAGCATCCAAGAGGCAACGGCCTTCTGATTACAACGAGGAGAAGATTCTCCTGAGAATCAAGGACGATTGCCATGAGGGACTGCGGAGAGAAGGAGTGACCAATCCACAAGTCTTTCTAGTATCCAGTTATGAAACCAGCCGCTTTGATTTCCCCCTCCTTTGGGAAAGGCTGAAGAATGATCTCTTAGGGCTGAGGAGGAAAGCTTTTCTGCTCAATTTGCCCAGCATCTCCCTGCCAGTCTTGAACAACAAGAAAACTGCCATGAAGAAGCAGATTCTAACCAGAGCCTTTGGTTGTGGATTTTTGCTGCTATTCCCATCCCAGGCCTCTCCTACTTTCCTGCCAGAAAGGTCCACTCCTGGTGTTATCATAACTTTGGCCTAGGTGATCCATCACTCACAGATCTTTCTCAGCTGGTTGGGAAGACAGCAGCCACCCTTAAAGCAGTAATGAAGCCCCTGTCTTTCACCTCTGTGGTTCTATGGGGCTTTGCAGAATTGGTTAGAGCTGTGGTGATAATAGGAGATTATACCTACTTCCAGCTTTCCCACTCTATGGATACCTACTATCAGGAGGAATTTCACTTCTTTCCATCTATGTCATGTTAAATAAATTTGTTTCCAATGCTACCAACAACACCCAAAGAGTTCTGACTGAAGCTCTGATGTGTGAGGAGAAGAAGTCAATTTAGCCGCAAACATCTACATTCACATCTATAGTGATATTAGATTATGCTGGAGCATAGAGAATAGTCTTCTCTTGTCAGAAAAGCACTTGAACACCATTCAATATATTCAAGCATATTGATTAAATTCCAATCTACATAGTAGAAGTGAGTGTAGCTGTATGTTCCTCCACCATAACTCCAAGACAATGAAGTCTAGATACCTGAATCACAGCAAGAATATACTTGAAATACTGGAGTTGTGGTCCTTAATATTATTTGTTTTAATGCTTTAATTAAGAGAACCAGTAAGGTGGTTTGAGCATTGGACTATGACTATAGAAACAAGGCTTGGACTCCTTGGCCAAGCCATAGAAACCACCTAGGTGACCTTGGGCAACTCTCTCAGCCTCAGAGAG